TCCTGAATCAACTTGTTCAGAGATGTTATTGCCCACCTCTGGAGCAGGAGGGACTTGAACCCAGGATTCCCAGTCCAGGGATAGGGAGACTACCACTGCCCCACAAGAAGACCCTACTTTTTCTCTTTTTTATAACATATTTTTCTAACCAGTTTGTTCAGAGACATTATTACACACCTCTAGAGCAGCTGGGTTGAACGCGGTCTCCCAGGCCAGGGATGGGGACATTACCACTGTGCCACAAGAGGGCCCCTGAGCAGCCATAAGTTTTTTTTTTCTTTTTAACCTATTTTTCCAGTCAACCTGTTCAGAGATGCTATTACACACCACTGGAACAGGTGTGACTTGAACCCAGGCCTCCTGCTCTAGGGGCAGGGTCATTACCATAAGAGGGCTCCAACAGCCCTCCAACAATGGCCCAGTAGGGTGGGATACTAAGCCGAGGCTCTAGAAGGGCAGTTTGCTACCACCTCTCAAGGGCCAATTAGGGAATGGCATTAAACATTGGGCCCAGCCAGCAACTCCCAGGTCCCACAAGTGAGTCTGTTTCAAAAACAGGGGAGAGGGTGAAATAGGGATTGTGAGCCTTGAAGTAAGGGGGGGAGGAGATAGACTCGAGGGGTTCAGAAACACTGAGGGTGAAATAGGGATTGTGAGCATCGGAGTAAGGGGGGGAAGGAGATAGACTCGAGGGGTTCAGAAACACTGAGGGGAGCAGAGAGGCTATTTGCTCAGAGTGGAGAGGGGGAAATCATTTCCAAAGTTGGGAGTTGGGAGTCGGGGGTGGGGGGTGGGGGGTTGGGAGTTGGGGGTTGGGGGTTGGGGGGCTAAGAAATAAGATTGAAGTCAATGGAGGCATTTAAAAATGTCAGGGTTGGGGGAGACAAAAAGAGGGGGATTTCTTTTTATTTTGTGTGGAAATCTGGAACAGTGGGCAAAGAATGCTCAGAACATTTCAACACAGGGGACATGGGCAGTCTATTCGGCCCTTCCACCCAGCCTGTCCCTTCTATCAGATCATGGTTTCCTATCTCAAATAAAAACCGAAAGAACTGCGGACGGTGTAAATCAGGAACAAAAACAGAAATTGCTGGGAAAGCCCAGCAGCTGTGAAGAAGAAAAAAAAAATCAGAGTTAACATTTCGGGTCCTGGTGACCCTTCCCTTAGAACTCAGGGTTCTGAGTTTGTCCGGCAACTACTGATTTTGTTCCTGCTTCCTATCTGCATCTACTCAGGTTGGCTCCTCAATGACCAGGTCTCCCTCCCTATCACCTCAGATTTGAATGTTTCAATTCTCTCTCTCTCTGTCAGCCTGGATTGCTTCTCTGGGGTTTATCCGCTGACCCCAGCTCCTCACGTCTCCTGCCACCACCAAACCCCCCACCCCACCCCATCCCACACTCTTCCACCCAGCCTGAGCCAGAGAAACTCCGGTAGCAACCAACGGGGAGAGAAACAGCGTTTATGTCTTCAGCCCAGTTCAGAAGGGCACAGAGCTCGAAATGTAAGCTCCTGCTTCTCTCTCTCTAGCCTGCTGACTTTATCCAGCAATTTCTCTGTGCTAGTTTCAGATCCCCAGTCCCTCCAATGTTGTGTCTCCCAGCGAACACGAGGCAGTGTTAAACTTTATGCAATCACTTTGGTCAATGCCTGACACAAATAAACATTCCCGAAATTGGCCCCAGTAGGAGTCCCATTGGCCAGACCAGATAAGTGTGCTGAAGAAGGGTCTAGGTCAGCTTTCCTGCTTGGCCTGCTGTGTTCAGCCAGCTCTACACCTTGTTATCTCAGATAAGTGTGTTCCTAAAGGGCAATGGAGAACCAAGTGGATTTTTATGACATGCTAGTATCATAGTTGCTATTTCTGATTGTAGCTTTCCATTCCAGATTCTCTGCATTGAAATTCAGATATAATGCTTCTGCCAATTTTATTATTTTGTCCATCTTTAAATGTACCACTCATCCCATCACAGCTTTCCTGACACACTTGTATTATCTGCAAACTTTATAATGTTACTCCAAATGTCCAGATGTAGATTGTCTGTGTGTCTGACTATGACTTTCCACCAATGACCTGGGTTCCCTCGCGGATATTGCAAAACTACGTCTCTCGCTGTCTCTAATTTAAGTCGGAATACTTCCCAAGGCCCTGGGCCTCTCAGTTTCACCACCTTGAGTATGGAAGCTCGACCCCTTTTTCAGGTCAGGATTGCGAGAATGCCAAATCTCAATTCATACAGTGTTTGTTCTGCATACTCTTCTGGGGAGTTTGGGGGGTGGTGGTGTTTGCAGAAGAACAGGATTCCCATTTTCCGTATTGACCCGTTTTCCACGCACAGGAAGGCACGTGCATTTCAGTAGCGCCTTGGGTTAACCCCCCGGAGCACTGCCCACCCCAAGCCTTTTCTGGAATTAGCAGGCCGCTCCTGAAACGTCCGAGCCCTGGCAGGGTCTCCTTGTTTTGATGTGGCATTCAGGAACGCACAAAATTATCGAAAAGGAGAGCCGCTGTTGGAAATCGGTTGTGGGGGAGGGGGAGAGGGGGAGGGAGAGAGGGAGAGGGGGAGGGAGAGAGGGAGGGGGAGGGAGAGGGGGAGAGAGAGAGGGGAAGCGGGAGAGGGGGAGGGATTTCATTTGGAGGCTACTTGCTGGGACGGAAAGGAAAGGCTGGGCTCTGCAGCATTCGGCCGTCTCCTTTCATGGGACATCCTGTACTTCGTGGGCCGAAGGATCTCCCAGCGGGTGGGCACATGCTTGTAAATTCTGACTGCGCCACAGTGTCGCATGCTGTTTTAAAAAAAAAGTGCTTTGGGCAAAAACTGCATCTCATCACCCGAGCTCACACCAACTGCTCCATCCTTAACACCAGCCCCCTTCCCTTTATCACCTCTGCTCACATTTGTTCTGGTTCTTTGTATATAAATGTTCAGCTTAGAGTCTAGAGTGGTCCATAATTTGCAGAGGCAATTCCCTTCAAATTTGACCGACTCACATAAGACAACAGGTTTCATTTCATCGCAAGGAATCCAGCTTGCAGATTGATTTTCTTGCCAGCAATTTCAGGTGGCGTTATACTGGTTTAACCAATCCATCTAAGATAATAAGTTGCCGAAGAGCACACTATTAATATTGCTGCGCTGTGAGAATGTACAGCGTGTGTTAGAGGTTAACACATGGTTTGATTAGATCATTAGGATTATCGGGTCGGAGAGATTGCGATGTCTGGGTGCGTACGTTCTCGGAAGCAATCGAAAGGCTTGTGGGGGATTAATTGCAGCGAGCTCAAAGCTAATTTTTGAATTGTTGGCTCTTATCAATCTGTTAAGGTGTGATGGGTTTTGCGTCGTGCAATGTTTCTTTAGTTGTTTGGTGTCGCTGGGTGGTCAGAATCCTGGAACTCCCTCCCCAAACCACACTGCGGGTGTCTATACCACACTTGGTGTAGCAAGTTCGAGAAAGTACCAGCGAATTGAGGCCAGTCAAGGATGAGAAACGATTTCGGACTTTGGTAGCGGTGCCCACATCCCTGTGAAAACGTTTATTTTTAAAAATAAGTTGTGCAAACCTCGTGATGTGATAAATACTGCCGCTTATGGGACAGCTCTTGGAGATTTTATACCAGATGCAAGGGAGGGTTAATTGCACACAAGATTATGCCAGTTTTAAGCCTATTTTGTTTTAACCCCCTGCTCGAGCTGGCTGAGCCAGCGAAGCAAGTTAAAATGCAATATTTTATTTTCAAAGTAGATAAGCTGCAGCTCGCACAGATGAATGTTGAATACAAGTTAAACTGGGTCTGCTTTAAACGAAAAGTGGACATTTCTGACTCGGTAATGTTTTATTTTTAAAGTTTGTAGAGCCATTGATTAGACATAAACGCTTTCGGTTTTTAGAGATTAAAGGCTAAACCTATTCACTTGCCTTGAATACAAATCTATTAGACTTCGCGCTCAAAAAACCAGAAACAATTTTCTGTGCATCTTTAAAAGCAGATGTATGCATTGGAACAGAGTTACAATGGATCTAGGACCCTGGCCCGTTCTGTCGACATTTCTCTTTAGTTTATTCGTTCAAGGGATGAGGGCGTCTCTGGCCAGGCCCAGCATTTATTACCCATTCCTAATTGAACGTCAACCACACTGCCGTGGGCCTGGAGTCACATGTAGGCCCAGACCAGGTAAGGGTGGCAGATTTCCTTCTCTAAAGGACATTAGTGGGGTTTTCCTGACAGTCGGCGGTGGGGTTCACTGCGAGGGGCCGAAGCCAGAGATGTATCAGACTCGGTTTGAGTTAGAGATCACGGGCCCTGGAGATTCCGACATGTGCCTAGATGTGTTCACCTTTCTAATGATTTCACCGAGAGCGGGCCTGCTGGATTTGTCAAAGATCCGAGGGCTCACCTGCGAATAAATATTCCAGATTTTACAACCGGTGATGTGTAAAATTGCATTCCAAAAGAAATTGTTGAAAATAGCGCCGAAGAAATTCCACTTTCCTTCTTGCGGAGTTCCGCGCTGTGAGGTGCCTGGACAATGTGCTGATTTCACACATGCATTCTGTGACTGTGGGTGTAATATTTGCTTGTAATTCCTGTCGATGTTAATAAAATTCTGTTGATGTACCTCGGGGATCTGTCTGAACGTCTAGCCTGTGAGGAGGGGACTCTGAAATCCGAGGGGAGCTCCTGGGATCGTCTCGCAGTGGATTCCGAACTCTCAGTCCCACATCTAATCCTTGGGTCTACATCACTGGGGGAACATCCCTACCCCCTCCAATCTCTCTGGTGAGATCCCGAAATCCAAGAGCAAATGAATGGGCAGGATCATACAGCTGGCCCCTTG